TCTCTCTCTCTCTGTGTGTCTCTCCAGTGAGCACATGTAACCTATAGCCAAAAACTTCAACAACAACAAAAAAAGACGTTTTCAGGGTGCCAAAGTATTACTCTGTAGATCACTTACTAATTACAAAGATAAAAATGTATCTTCACGGTTGATAAAGCTGGCAGTCACTACCTTAAGTAACTGATTAAAATTAGCATCACTGATGTGGGAAAACCTGACTTTCTGTGATGTGATGCAAGATGAAATACATACCCCCTTGCCAAGTCTCTAACTTGTATCTAATTGATTCTCTGACCTAATTAACTATTTCCTAAACATATAGGTAACAAAGAAACAATTCAATGTTACCATAAAGAAACAATCAGACAAACTCAGAATAGGATGCATTCTGTGTGTCAACTGTCTTAGGTTCACTCTTCAAAAGAATACATTCCCTTGGGAACCAGCAGTTAGCATAATGGCTATGTTGCTGGACTCCCACGTAGTCTACCGCGGTTCGCGTCCAGGACCCTTTGACTTAAAACTCACACGTGTGCGTGCGTGCCCAAGATCCCGAGAGGAGAATGGAAGAGAAGGGATTGCAGTATGGCCATCCCCCCATGGGGTGATTTCTCGCTTTCTATTTCTCTGTCTCTCTCTGTCTTTCTGGCGAGTGCACACGCCCTATACCAAAAACCTCTCCAAAAAAAAAAAAAAGAAGGAAAAAAAAATCTCTAAAAAAAGAAAATAAAATTTAAAAAAAGAATCCATTCCATAGGAGAAAAAAGAGGTAGAATGTTGTAGACACAGGAGACTAACAACCAAATGCTTGAATGTAGATATGATCCTAGATCAAAAAAGAAAGGTAATGAAAGGCACGCCAGCCAGCCCCCTGGGCCGGTGGTAGAGAGAAGCTGGATCCCACATGGCTGACTACACTTTGAATTCCAACACCTACAGCTTGAAATTCATGCCAGGTGTGTGTGTTTGTGCCCTAAATCCCAACAGGATGGAGAAATGGAGAAGGGATTGTGGTATGACCATGTCTTATGGTGGTCTGAGGGGGAGGGGTGCTTTTTCCTCTCCCTCTCTCCCTCTGTCTCTGTCTCTGGCAAGCATAGGCACCCTCTGGCAACTTAAAACAACAGACATTTGTTGGACCAGTTGTGTTTTTAGAATGTGGACTGGATATTAAATGGTATTAAAGAATGATTATTCACTTCTGAAGTCCGATGATGCTAGTTGGTAGCTAGTCGTTGCTAGCTGTTGGGTATGCAATGTCTTTCTGTTAGGAGATAACATCAAAGTATTTGGGGGATAAAGTGTCATAATGTACATATAATAAATACATGGAGAGAGAGAGAACATGTAAGTGTATATATGTGAGTGTATAAGTGTGTACGTAGAGAGGTAAAACAAAGATAGCAAAGTGTTACCACATGTTAAATCTCATGGGAAAGCATGTTGGCAAGCACTATGCAGTTCTTTTATTTTTTATGCAGTTCTTTAGAACTTTCATGTATTTGAAATTTCCCAGTGAAACATTAGACATTTTTAAAATTTTTTTTTTATTTAATTTTACTTATTTATTTAAATTTGACCGGAGAGGGGGAAGAGGGAGCTAGAAAGCAAGCTGCCAGGTCCTGGACTCAAACTGTGGTTAGCCATGTGGAGTCCAGCGCCTTCAACATGCCATTTGCCAGCCCCCAGGAGAGATTTTTAAAAATTAAGGAGTGGAACCAGCAGGTGGCTAATGGTTACGTCACTGGACTCCCATGTAGTAGACCACAGTTCGCGTCCCGGGCCTGGCAGCTTAAAACTCATGCCGGGTGCATGTGAATGTGTCCCCAAAAGTCCCAAGAGGAGAATGGAGGAGAAGGGATTGTGGTGTGGCCACCCCCGCTGAGGGGGTAATTTTTTGCTCTTTGCCTCTCTGTTTCTCTGGAAGATGCATGCACCCTATAGCAAAAATCTCTCTTAAAAAGAAAAAATGAAGGAGAAAGAGGCAAACAGGTGGCTTGGTGGTTGAGGTACTGGCCTCCCACATGTTTTTCAAGCCTCTAGGTCCAGGACTTGAACTAGAATCAGCTCTGTGGGATCTAGTACCTTAACCACCACACTACCAGCTGACCCACAATTTGGTTGTTGTAGGTATCAGATCATTTAGGGACAGCGGGTGGCATGGGGAGTTTCTCACAGATTACACTGCCAACACACAGCTTAATATTTTCCCCTGTCCCTTGAACTTGGTCTCACTGAGGCCGAAACCTAGTGCCTTGAGAACACAGGGACGGGGATATGTACTTGTATCACAAGGCACAGCATTTTTGCCTATGTCTCTCTTTTTGATTTTGGTAACTATGGATTCTCACTGCCTAAATCCATTATTTCAGGCAAACTTTTTCTATAAAAAGCCAAGCAGGAAATATTTTAGTCTTTGCCAGACATACGGTCCTTATTACAGCTGATCAACTCTACCATTGTGGCCCAAAAATAGTCACAGACAACATGCAAGGAATAATGTTCCAATATAACTATTTACAAAATCAGGCAGCAGGTTGGATTTGGCTTATGGTCTGCCTTTTGCTGATTCCTGCTTTATCCTAATATGTGATAGTTTTAGAAAACAAACATGAATACAAGCAGTGTGATTACTGAAAACAGTTTGCAATATCTCATCTTTTTTTTTTTTTTTTTTTTTTTTTTTAAGGAAAAATTTTTTGAATTTGGGGTATGCGGTAAAGAGACAAAGAAAGACAAAGTGAGAAATCCCTCCCAAGGGGGGATGGCCATGCCACAATCCCTTCTCCTCCCTACTCCTCTGGGATCTTGCACACACACACACACACACACATACATGCCCAGAGTGAGTTTCAAGCTACTGGGTCCAGCACTCGAACCTTGGTGGGCCATGTGGAATCCAGCAATGTAACTGCTGTGTCATCTGCTGGTCCCGAGTTTAAAATATCTTTACCTGTGTTTTTGTCCTTAGGATGTCTTCTGCTAAGAATAGTCAGACACGTTACTGTGTTATAGTCTCATGAAGATTGTCCTGTGTGTATGCCAGGAGGTTGGTAGACAAGATCATTTGTTTTAGTTTGCATTTAAGAGTTTGGGAGACTTTCCCCCCTCTCCATTATATTTATTTATAATTCTGAGAAAAATTTAGATCATTCCAAAGTCAAATATATAAAATAAGGTATATTTGGAAAAGTCTAGCTTCTGTCTCTGCTCTTCCATAGTATTCTCAGTTCCTGATCAATTCACATGGAAATTCTATTACAGGCATCCAACTTTCAAAATGTTATGGTTTAATCCTTCCATTTGAAAGTACAAACAGGGGACCAGCAGGCGGTGTGGCGGTTAAGACACTGGACTCCCACATGGCCAGCTGTAGTCTGAGTCCTGGACCTGGTGGCTTGCTTTTTCACTTTCCCTCTCTCTCTCACTATCTCTCTCTGATGAGCACACATGCCCGATAGCAAACTTAACAATAATAATAAATAAAATAAAGTGAATAAATACGTTTTTAAAGTACAAGCAAGTATATACATCTACATACTTTTTTCGTTATGACAGAAAACACATGCATGCATGTATGCAAGACAGAGAGAGGGAGAGAGAGAGAAGCACCCTTGAAAGGGCTCATCATGCAGCAATCCCTTTTCCCCAGTCCTCCAGCTCCTTGGGACCCCGGTTGCCTGCGTGAGTGTTCAGAATGTTTTTCAGACCCACTTGGGTATCTGAATCCATGACTGTCATACAGCTTCCAGTCTTGCAGGGCACTTACATTACTGCTGCACTACAGTGACTGAACTGTTTTGTTTTGTTCTATTTTGTTTCCTACAGGGCATATGCACTTACCAGAGAGAGAGAGAGACAGAGAAAATGAGAAATCACCACCCAGAGGGGATAGCCATGGTGCAATGCTTTCTCCAGACTCCTCTCAGGATTTTGGGCATACATACACATGCACCCAGTGTGTTTTGCAAGCTGCTGGGTCCAGGACTTGAACTGCAGAGTTGGCTGTGTAAAATCTAGTGCCTTAATCTCCATGCTACCTGCTGGCCCTGGGCCATTTTTTTTATACCTCCTTTCTGAAATGAAGGGTGCCACATAATACCTATCACTTTATCCACCTTTTGAAAAATTATTATTATTTAATAGTATGACCTACAGATTATACCACAGGTATATATAGAAATATTCTCTTTTACAGTTCACAGTATTCCTTCATTTGGATATGCCAAAGTTTATTTAACCAGTTCTCTATTGATAAACATTCAGTTTATTTCTGACTGAGTGAAGGCAATCTTTTAAATCACAGGAATGGACCTGCTCTGTGGCCTGGTGGTAAAGGCAGCTGGATCCTACATGGCCAACCACACAATTGAGTCCTAGACCGGGACCAGTTAGTGTAATGGCTATGTCGCTGGACTACCACATAGTCAACCGTGGTTTGAGTCCCGGACCTGGTGGCTTAAACTCAAACCGGGCGTGTGTGCATGCGTGCCCAAGATCCCGAGAGGAGAATGGAGAAGAAGGGGATTGCAGCATGGCCATCCCCCCGGGGGATGATTTCTCACTTTCTATCTCTCTGTCTCTCTCTGTCTGTCTGGCGAACGCACGCGCCCTATAGCAAAAACCTCAAATGAGTCCTAGACCCAACAGCTGAAGAAACACACTGGGTGTGTATGCATGCATGCCCAAAATCCCAAAAGGAGGTGGAGAAGGAAAAGAAGGGATTACAGTGTGACCATTCCCCATAGGAAGGCTTTCTACTCTCTCTTTCCTTCTGTCTCTCTGGCAACTACACACACTCTAGCAAAAAAATAAAGTGTATATATATATACATATATATATATACACACACACACACACACACATATATGTACACATATATACATAAATGTGTGTGTGTGTATATGTATATATATCACAAAGTTAAGCAAATAGCTTTGTAATCCTTTAAAGTTTCTAAATGATAATTTATAATTTTCCTTCTACTTTCCAATTTACAGAAGAAGAAAAAGAAATGAAATGACTGTAGATTTCAGCCGACAGTCACGTGATAAAAACAAATTGCAGGACAGATCTAGGCTAAGAAAAGTCCAGTCACTGGTAAGTATTACTTATAAAGATTCACCACCACAGCGTTCATAAAAATCACTGGATCTCTATCCTATTTGCAAAATTGAGTTTGTTTAGTTCTTTCTTTCTTTTTTTTTTTTTTTAGATTTTTACA